GCTGGCTCCTCAACGGTTGAGATCGGTACGCTGTACACTGGCTGTACACCCTAAATCCCCGGGATCGTAACGGCAGCTCCTAACCCTTATGACCCGAAACTCCCAAGCCTTAGTATGACTTCAGCTTAAATCTTAGCTAAATGCCCTTCACCCCGCAAAACCAAAAACCTCTAGAGCCGTTGTAATGGGCCTTCAAAAGGGGTCTTATGCCCGAACCCGACTTGCAATAATATATCCTAAACCCTAAACCCTAAACCCCTTAAGAGTGAAGGTGGCTGTAGCTGTTTGTTTCTCATAGGGATGGGCCAAGCCGTCTCGAGCCCCAGCTCTGTGCGGGGAGGCCACTTGCTGCCCGGCGTGGATAGACCTTTGAGGTTCATTTGGGTAGTTCTCTGTATTAGGGTCCCTTTTTAGGTCCCCAAAACGCTACGGCACCCTTATAATAAGGACCCTAAAAGGGACCCTAATTTGTCTAGGTGGAGCCTTGGGATAATTTGTAACTGCATTATGTTGTATGGAGGTACCTTTTCATAAATGCTTCTGGGAGCCCATGAGTTAGGTTTCAGAGCTTGAAGGGTTCCCATCATCTTAAGGTCGACATTAGGGTTTAGGGTTCAGGGTTTAGGGTTGAGGGTGAAAGTACTTGTGGGCTCGTGGGCCCACAGCCCAGCTAGGGCTTAGTAGCTTAATTCCTATAGCCCCTGAAGTTTCGAGCGCAGTACAGAGCTGCAAATGTCTGAAGTTGCGGTAAATAGGGTTTAGGGTGTAGGCGGTCCCGATTCTAGACTTTGGGGCATACTTTCGTATACTGGGGTTACGGCACCCGGACAAATAGCACTAGAAGAAGTACAGTTGTCAGACCTCGATGCGCGAAGCCTGGAACCAACCCCTGATTTCCTTGAAGGGTCTCAACTCCCGAAGATGCCCTAAACCATAGATACATCCCAGAGTCCAAACCCACACTATCCGAACCAATTCAGGGCCTCCCAAAAGCGTGACAAAGCCTACCTATAGAACGCAGCATATCGGAACCTGTTACAGGATCCTCCAAAGAGACCTTAGATTGAAGCTCTGAGCCCGAAGTCCTACATCCTAAACCCTAAACCCTTGAAGGAACGTCAGAGCACTGAACCCGAAAAACCGAAACCCTTAGCTCTTGAAGGACTGTTATCATGAAGATCCCGATAGAACTTCTAAGCCCCGAACGCTTTACCCATAGGCCCCATAATGGTTCCTATTTGGGATTACCTTATAGGATTCTATACATGAGCCCCAAAAAGGAACTACTTTAGGGCCTCTGAGTAAAGGATTACAGCTCTGAGTAAGGCTCTAACCCTAAACCCTAAACCCTAAACCCCGAACCCTTTAAAGGATTAAGGCTCTGAGCGGATACTGAACCTGAGTTGAACACCAGCGCCTCTCCCCGGGCAGGCAAGATGGCTGCAGCAAAGGCGCCGGTGGAGGCCTGTGATCCTTGAGTTCGGGTGTAGGTTTAGGGTTTAGGGTTCGGGTGTAGGGTTTCAGTATTGGCTTGAATCACACGTAATCATGCTCCATTGTTAAGTCCTAATATGGATAGTTTTTGAAACTAGGGTGCTTTCTTAGGGTCCCCCAATAGCACGACACCCATATAAAAGGGATCCTAAAAGGGACCCTAATTTATCCTTTACAGAATTACCTATACAGCCATGCAACTATATATCCCGAACCCACATTGTTCGAGACCTCTGGGTTAGGGGGTCGAGTGTCGGTTGACCCGACACACCGAATGATTTGGCCTTGACCCTGTGCCTTCAAGTATTCCCAGTTCCAACAAACCCTAAACTTAAACCCTAAACCTAAACATCACAGCCCTAAATGCCAAGGCTCGCTACCCCAAAAGCCACATTATCAAATTCACGAGTCTGAACCCAGGGCATTGGGCTTGGTTCAGGGTTTGGAATGTCGAGTCTGCCTGATCTGTTCTCAGCCACGCAGCCCCGAAGCGGATCCTAGAACCCTCAATCCTAACATATTTAGGGTTTAGGGTTTAGGATTTAGAACCTGGGATCAACCCTAAACCCTAAACCCTCCTAGAAACCTGGGATCAACCCTAAACCTTAGACCCTCATAGGAACCTGGGATCAAACCTAAACCTTAGACCCTCGTCATAGGAACCTGGGATCAACCCCAAACCCTAAACCCTAAGCCTTAAATCCTAAACCCTCATAGGAACCTGGGATCAACACTAAACCTTAGACCCTCATAGGAACCTGGGATGAACCCCAAACCCTAAACCCTAAGCCCTAAATCCTAAACCCTCATAGGAACCTGGGATCAACACTAAACCTTAGACCCTCGTAGGAACCTGGGATCAACCCCAAACCCTAAACCCTAAAGCCCTAAACCCTAAACCCTAAGCCCTAAATCCTAAACCCTCATAGGAACCTGGGCTCAACACCACACCCTAAACCCTAAAACCCTAAACCCTAAGCCCTAAATCCTAAACCCTCATAGGAACCTGGGCTCAACACCCCCCCACAGGCGCTGTCCTGCACCTTTGCCGACCGAGCCGGGAGCCCCATCTACTAAGGGTTCCTTTAAAAGTTCCTTAAAGGGCCTAACTTAAAGGGTTCTGGTGGGTTTCCTTTAAGGGTTCTTTTAAGGGTTCCTTAAAGGGTTCCTGTGGGTTTCCTTTAGGGGGGGTTTAGTGTTTTAGGGTTGAGGGTTAGGGTTTTGGGTTTAGGGTTTAATAAGGTTCCTTACAGGGTTCCTTTAAACGCCCAGACCCCGGAAGGATCTACGAAGTAGATCCCTTTGCAGTATAAGGGTCCCAGATCAGGGGTTCTACTGTCTACATCCTTGCGAGGGTCCGGGAGGCAGTCGAAGGACCCATGTCACCGGTGTAATACCCTACCCCTTACCCAGTTGTGCGTAGGATCTGTTATATAGAAAAGTAAGGGGTAGGGTCATACCCCCGGGGGTACTGACAAAATGTTCCTTCTGCCTTGCCGCTGAGGTGGCAGGGGCTCTATGGGGCCTGCACATTGCGGATGCGATGGCTATGCCGACACACTGGTACTATGGAGGACATACCTTAAACTACCATAGCCTGCTTCTTTGTAGGTTCTTACTACGAGCAAAAATACAGAATGTAAAGGGGCCCTGCAAAAAGGTGGGCTTTGGTAGGTGAACATACACTGAAAGGCACGATGTGAGCTGAGCGTCTGCTAATGTGCAGTTCGGTTCATGGATTGCTTCGTATGCATGGAAGACACGTCATTCCTAAACCCTACTAAACCCCAAAGCCTAAAACCCAAACCCTGAAACGCCAAACCCTAAGCCCTGAAGTGGTCGGGGCATCAGTTTGCAGTGCGAATTAGCAGTTACCCTCGTGCTACTTAGTTGTTGCGCTGCTTCTTTCATTGCATGTTAAGGGTGTAGGGTTGCGGGTTTAGAGTTAAGTTACGGGCTTAGGGTTGAGGGTTTAGGGTTAAGTTACGTTCAGGGCTTAGGGTTGAGGCTTTAGGGTAAAGTTCGGGGCTTGGGGTTGAGAGTTTGGGGTCACATTAGGGGATTTGGATTGAGGGTTTGGGGTGAAGTTAAGGGTTTAGGGTTAAAGATTTAGGGTTTCGGCTTAGGAGGTAGGTTTCAGGGCCAGTGATGCGATGCATTCTGGCTATGCATCGTGTTGCTCTGTGTGGCAATCTTCCACAAGAGTATACCACTGTATGCACTTTGCTATATGATCTGGATGTGCACTGATGATGTCAAGGCTGATCGACACGTAGATGCACAACTAGGTACGTGCTATTCCGCAGCCCGCACTCCCCAAAGGTCTCGAATGATTGCCGTAATTACCGATTTTTATGCCCCTCCCCGAGCCCCAGTCTTATTTGTCAGGCCCGAATTCTGCAAGCAACAGGACAGTCGCAAGTGCAGGGAGACTACGGCAAGATTACCGGCTACGTCTGCACCTCGGGTGGGCGAGGTTTGGACTTCCAGAAGTCCGCATACCGAAGCCAAAGCGTGTACCAGCCCATTATTTAGAATTATTGTGTTTCCATGCAGCAGGTCTATAGCTACTATGCATATACTTTGGCCCAGTGGGGATTCCTATATAGGTACTTCAGCGGCAAGGTTTTGGGGTGTTAGAGTGGAGCGTTTGAGGCTTGGGGGGGTGTTAAGGTTGACGGTTTGGAGTGTAGGTTGCTGGGGTTCATGATTTGGTAGAATATTGGGGCCTGAATATTTACCTCGACTATTTTGGGGTTCCCTTATTCTAAGTATAGCATACTGGGCCTCAAAACCCTATTGAGACCCTATTCTAATTATTGAGGCCCCTACATTTGGAGGGATTGTTAATACAGGGGTCGCCACTGGAACCATTCTTGAGGAATGCTTATGTTAAGGCTTCTACAATACGTAAGGAAGGCTCTGGCGACGACTGGGCGTGAGTAGTCTCGTGCCCAACGGCTGGGACGAATGCCGCTGAGTTCCTAGTTTATTCCGGCGGGTCTCTGGTTGTAGGACGTAACTGTGTAGGGTTTAGGGTTTAGGGTTTAGGGTTAAAGTTTAGCATCTTTGGCATGTGCATCCGGCGACAGAGCTGTAACTCTCAATCAAGCTTTTGACTGAAGTGCCTCCTGCCTAGTATTTCAGAGTCGTTCAGGCCCCGCAACCGACCATAGCTTAAAGCTACCTTCAGCCCTCTAGGCCCCAAGCCCTAAACCCTTAAACCAGAAACCCTACACCCCTAAACCCAAAAACCCCTTAACCCTAAACCCCTAAACCCAAAACCCCTAAACCCTAAACCCTAAACCCTAAACCCCTAAACCCCTGAACCCCCAAACCCTAAACCCCTAAATCCTAAACCCTATAAACCTTGAGCCCTCTAAGCACCATAAACCCTGCGCTTAAGCCCGATCAACCCCCAAGCCCGAGAATGCCTGCAAGCCCGAGAAGCTGAAACACCGAGGTCCCCTTTAGGGTTTAGGGTTTAGAGTTTAGGGCTTAAAGTC